AAAAAAAAAAAAAAAAAAAAAAAAAAAAAAAAAAATCGCATTTGCCTAGCTGAGGGCCACTGGCATGGTATAGAAAGTCACATCTACTGTTCAGTAGTGTCCGTTTTACCAGTTGCTACTGCTGCTGGAACTTATGTGGAGTGGAGTGGACAGGACAGGCCCCAGTGTTGCGGTGGAAGTCAGCTATGCGAATCTGTAGACCTGGTCCTTCCATTTACCCTTCACCAATCTCTGCCCTCAGCTTTCTGAAGACCAGGCAGTGGTTCTAACAGATTTCTTCATGGCTGTTCCTCCTTTGGAAATGACAGACTGAATAATACATGGACATGTGCACGCAAAATTTAATAAAAATAGATGGTCTAAAATACAACTTTAAAGAATGTTTTTATAAATGAATGAGACCTCTGCGGTATGACTTGGCTTTCTGAGCAAGGGTCTGGATAGCTTTTTTTTTTCTTTGTGAATGTCCCTGGGTCTTTGTTGCCTTGGTGGTGACTTATCTAGGACATGGGTTCCTCTAAAGTCTGAAGCCTAGGTGACCTTAGACCCTGGACCAGTCTGGCCACCATCTGCTTTTGTAAATAAAGTTTTATTGGAACACCCTGCTCATCCATTTGCACATTTATGGCTGTGCCAACAGTTGACCTGAGTGGTTGCCACAGAGGCCTGCAAACCCTCCCAAAACCCCCTGAACCTTTAAGTAAAAGTGCCAACCCATGTGTAGACTAAAACTGTCTAAACTCCACTTTAGTAGTGATTAACATTTTCTGTTTCCATCTCACAGTCCAGACAGCATAAACTGGAGGTGTGGAATGGGTGGGCTCCTTGTTCACCCTGTGGATCCTCCTGGTCTCTGTTGTGGAAGTTGACTGAGGTCTTGTCTCCTCCATGTGTTAGGGCTCAAGGGAGGCTTCTCTCTCTGACATTGAGTCTGAGGGCTGATTTCTGAGTGCTTCAGAAGCATTACTGCAAAAGCCCTGCTGTCCTAGGTGTATGGCCATCTCTGCTTAGGCACAGACTACACCTCCAGGAAACTGTGGCCTGGCTTAAGTTATAGGAGCTTCAGTTCCTCAAAGGTGACTAGTACTAGAGGAGTCCCCAGGTATGCTGGTGGTGTGTGCAGTTGTCTGTTTTTTCTTTTTCTTTTTTGGTTTTTTGAGACAGGATCTCACCATGTAGTTCAGACTGCTCTGGAACTCACTGTGTAGCCCAGGCTGGTCTTGAACTCACAGCAATCCTCCTGCCTCAGCCTCCCAAATGCTGGGATTACAGGCATGTGCCGCCACGCCCAGCTTGCAGTTGTCTGTTTTTTAAAGGTCACAAAAGGGGCATGGGGCTCTTCATGATCCAGTTGTTAGACCTCATCTTTCTGATTTTAGCAACCTTTGAGGTGGGTAGAATGACAAGCACATCCCAAATTCTTTGAAGGAAAAACAGTGAGGCATGAGGAGCAGGACAGCACACTTCCTCCTTTTTGCACAACTGCCTTTTAAAATTGGAGGTTATTGGCACTGTCCCCCAGCGCATCCATACTCTTCCAGTGTCAGAATTCCAACCTGGCTGTGTGTGGAGGAGAGCATGGGAGTGGAGGCCCAGACTCACTCTGGCTTCAGGGCTGCCTGGGCTCAGCCTTGAGGCTTGCATTTGAATCCACAGGCACCTGCTCCTCCACCTCTTTCCCTTGGTGATGCTGAGTCTCCTTGCTGAGGCTGCTCTGGATTGAAAAGAATTTTTGTCTGGATGGATGTATTTCTGTTTCTTGTTTTCCTCATTGTTTCAAAATAAATGTTTTATATGTCAGTGTTTGATAATTAGTTGGGGTTTATATAGTTTTTACAGAAACATTTGCTAGACGAGTTTTTGATACACATTAATATTTTGGGTGCCCTGACATAGATATATTTCAAGCCCTGAGGATGTCTGTGAGTTCTTGGTCCCTACCAGGATTGAATTGCTTGCACAATTGGGGCATTATGTCTATCTTTAGAGGGTGAAGTGAGGGGACAGGAACTGAGTGTTGTCAGCTGTTCTTGACAGACTTCACATCTGCCCTGGATTGGCTGTTAGGCACTCTGTCACATACGCCTCCACTACTGCTTGTTCTTCTGATGCCTGTGGAGCTGTACCCCCCAACCCCCCGTTGATATGGTCCCCTCCTTGGTATGAGACAATCCCAGAAGTCCCTGTGCTTCTGGCTGGTCTATAGCCTTTGAGTGATATTTCCTCTTCACCTCCTCGGCTATGTGAGAAGGCAGACTGTGCCCAAGGTGGCTCCTGACAGAGGCCCCTCCCACCCTGCAAGGCCAGCTTGTCCAGGGCAGCACAGGCAGCTGTTGGAGACCATCAGGCTTTCATCCCAGTGACGTGGTGTGCCTGAGAAGTTCAGTGAGGAACAGACTGCAGGCTGCAGGTGGGTTTGTGGTCCCACCTAGTATTTTCCAAACCTTTGTGAATACTAATGCTCTTTAGGAATCAGCAGAGCATATGGGGGCAGGCAAGTAAGGGTGGTACAGGGGTTTATCTGCCAGAAGAGTTTGGGAAATGATGGATCAAATAAAGGTAGTGTTACTTTGATTTCAGGGTTCATGATGCATAGAATAACAGTGTCTGCTGTCTTCAGGACCTCTCAGATGTCCAGTGACCATCCATTTTTCTTCCAGTAGAATCCCATTTGCAGTAGGATGCTCTTCTGGTACCCCTAGGGTTCTTCACCTGCCTTGCCCTCCCACCACCTGATCCAGTCTCCCTCCAGGAGTCCAGGTGTTCTTCTGGGAGGTTGCCAGCCTTTTTGAGGGCCCCACTGTAGCTGCTGTCCTTCCCCGAGAGAGGAACTTATTTCCACCTGGAGATGACTATGTTTAAAGCTGACCAGGTTATGCCTGCTGGGAGGTATGGGTAGGGATTCCACAGCCTCTGTTCAGCGTTGTAACAGCAGCACCTGCTTGCTTGTTGTGGCATTGCCAAGAGAAGCTGCAGTACTTGGCCTGGGGCAGGTGAGCCCACCTTTCCCTCTGGCCAACAGCGCTCAGGTTGGTGGGGTAACATACCTTAAGGTTTCTTCAGTGTTTGACTGTTACTTTGTTTCCTGAAATAATTAAGAAAAATTCTTTTGAGAGAAAGAGACTGTGTACCTTTTATCACGCATGCCCACCATCCGGGATGCTGCCAGATCCATCTGCCACTCACATCTGCTCCAGTGGTGCACAGACTGACATTTCAGTGTGGGGCACCTGCCTGGCTCCAGGTGGTCACCATGGAAGGAGAGAACAGCTGGCTGGATATGTGTCACAGGGATAGTGTGGAAGGGGACAGGCAACAGCTGCCTGGGGAGGTGGAACAACACACTAGGTGAGTGGCACCCTGCAGGCTTTGCCTGGTCCCCCATCATGCTAACAAAGGCTGTGTCTATGGAGGGGATGACTGAGGATCAGACTCCATTGTGAAAGCAGTGAAACCCCAGACAGCAGTAATCTGTGAATCACCTAAGAACCTTTGAGAAGGAACCTAGGTGTGAGTGCAGTAATTGGGTTTCCTGTATCTGCATTTAAACATTTAGACCTGTTGGTAACACCATGCCTTTTCACTGTGGGACCATGGCATGTGTGAGTATGCAGACTGCCCATGCCTTCACGCCCAGGCTGGCACAGATAACACAGCTTCTAAGCAGTCACTGCTGCACAGAGGCAGCATTTCAGGGCCCAGACACTTGGCTCTGCCAACTCCATCACCACCTTTGCCCATTGCCTTGTGAGCTGCATGCAGGCCTCAGCTGAGGTCCCGAGATGTACCTGTTTGGGGTTTCTTGAGCCTTGTGCTTTCACAGCGCTCTTTGAAGCAGACATCTTGGTGGACTTTGTAGATTCTTTTATACCTGTTGTCACAAGAAAGCACCGTGAAACCAGACACCGAAGTAGAATGTTGCCCAGCTGCTTGGCCTAGGCTCTGCTGACCACCCTCAAATGAATACCAAGGCATTTGAGGGCAAGATTCCTATTTTCCTGATAAAGTCATACCTGTGAGTACATGACAATGTCCAGTATAAAAGTCACGAGAGTTTTTAAGCATTATCTTTACTAAGTATAATATACGTAAGATATACCCATTTTCGATTGCATTTTGATGAGTGTTGACAAAGCTGTATGGTTTTAGAAGGTACAATGCAGCCGGGTGTGGTGGTGCACGCCTGTAATCCCAGCACTCAAGAAGCTGAGGCAGGAAGCTCTGTGATTTAGAAGGTACAATGCAGCCGGGTGTGGTGGTGCACGCCTGATATCCCAGCACTCAAGAAGCTGAGGCAGGAGGATCTCTGTGAGTTCGAGACCAGCCTGGGCTACAAAGTGAGTTCCAGGTCAGACTCAACTACATAGTGAGACCCTGTCTCAAACCACCCCGCCACACAAAAAAAAAAAAAGAAGAAGAACATACAATGTAAGGAGACTTTGCGGGAAGCAGGCCACTTTGAGGCCTTGTGAAGGGATAACACCATTCTTGTCTATTTGGGGATTTCATGGAGAAGATTGAGAAGTGTGCAGATGTGGACAGTTTGGACCAGGAGACTTGATTATAAGCCTGCCTCTTCCATTTATTAATCAGGCTACTTCGAGTAAGACCCTTTAACTTGTACGTCTTGGTGCTATGTAAAGTGGGAGTTCTGCCTACCACTCTTTCACAAGTTTATAGATGACAGGAATGGGAAGGGGTTTGGGTCTGAGCCACACAGTAGCTTGATGGCAGAGCTGTCGCTCATGCCATCTGGTGGATCCTTTGCTAAGCCTGGTGCTTTTGTCTCCCACGGTGAATTCCCAGTGTGCACAAAACAGGAAGTGTGACTGTTAAGCTGGATGTCTATTTGACCTCAGAGTTGCCTACAGGGTTAATAAAGCAGACTTCTGGGGATGTCTGGGTGGGTCATGAGGTGAGACCTTGGATACTCTATCTGGGCCTTGGGCCTCTGCCACCGCTCCTCTTTGCTTCACACCAGCATGGCCTGAGCAGCTTGGCTCCACACTATACCTTTTCATCATGATATTTCTACATTGGAACCTCCCAACCCTGGACTGAATCCCCTGAAATCATGAGCCAAATTAAACCCCCTCCTTTATGTTGTGAATGTTGGATATCTGGCTCCAGTGATGGGAAAGCTGACTAATATGAAGTAATGTTTTCTGATGTTAGAAAACAAACAGTCCTAAGAAAACAGACTGTAAACTCTTAGAAGACAGGAACATGAGACGAGCCCTGTGGTCATCCTGCAGTTCAGCCTGGAGCATCTTTAGATTGCACTGCAGAGGGAGCTGGGCAGTGGTCATGCTGAGTCAAGGAAACAGACTGCAGTGAGGAGGTAGAGGTGGCTAGAGTTGTGGGCAGTGTACTGGAGAGGAGGGAACTCTTCAGAGGAGCAGCCCCACAAACCTGTAGCTGCAGGTCAAGCTATGCATGCACATGGTGGAACCCACAAGGCTGGGCGAAAAGGACATAAGGAACAGTGTCATACTACAACTGGAGTGGACAGATCTCATTTAATAACAAGGGGGCAAAACTACCTTAGAATAAGGCTACTCTAAAAAAAGCCTCAAGAAGATCAAACTAAACTCAAAAAATGCCTTGCAGAAAAAAGACAATGTCTTGAAAAAAACCTAGCACTCAGTACTGTAAAATTTGTAGTTCAGGATCCAGTGAAAAATTATGACATGACATTCAAAGAATCATAGGAAAATATGACCCATAATTGAGAGAAGAAAAGAGAATGATGACAGCGGGCAAGAACCCTAAAACATGCATTTGCTTCATGTTTGGTGACTGAGAGCCAGGGATTTAGCTCAGTGGTGCTGCTCCCTGCCTCACAAGTGCAAGGTTCCAAGTTGGATCCCCAGTACCAAAGGGGGAAAAAAAAAGAAAAAAAGTTAAATCTGATGTTTGGTGACTGAAAGGGAAATGCTAACATAATGAAGAGGAAAATGGAGGATCAAAGAACTAAATGAAACTTGTAGAAATGATAAAAGTCAGTGTCTGAAATGAAATTTTGTTGAACAGGAATAATGGCAGACTAGAATGGTACAGAAGAAAAGATTATTTCTTGAACACACAGCAGTAGAATCTGTCCAAGATGTCCAGCACTCTTCCAAGAAGTGAAAAGGTATGTAGTGATCTATGTGAAAATATCAGTCTAACACACTTAGGAGTTCCAGAAGGAGAGGAAGAGGAATGGAGGCAAAAAACTAAGAAATAATGGCCTTGATGTTCCTAAGTGGACAAAATCTAAATCCCCAAAGGTATAAAAAAAGGTAACATTTCAGAGACTGAAAACACAACCATACCAAAGCACATCATGTTTAACTTGGCCAGAAATAGTAATAAAGAGAAAATGTAAAAGCCATAGAGTGGGGAGGACACATTAGATATAGTGCAGTCCAGGTGAGCATGACTGCAGTCTTGTCTGAAACTATGCAGGGCAGACGACCGAGGAATGACAGTGCAGAGAATTCATTACCAGCAGACCTGTGCTGTAAGGAATGTTACTGTACGTTGTTTAGGCAAAGGGAAAGTAATAGCAGATGAACAAAGTGTCCATACAAGTATTAGATTTTACTTAAAAAGGTAACTATTGAGAACAAACTTAAAATACTGTGATGTTCACAGGATATGTGGAAGTAAAAGCTTAATGATAATTCAGATGTTGTGGGAAGTGGACCTATGCTTTTTTAAGGATGTGCCATTACACTGAAGGTGGATGCTAATAACTAAAGATAGATTCTGATAACTGAAGATGTGTATTATAAATTCTAGAGCAACTGCTGAACAAACCCCAAATTAAAGACGTATAATCAGTAAGCCAGTGATGAAGGTAAAATGGTATCCTAAAGCATAATCCAGAATTAGGAAAAGACAAAAATTAAAAAGGAGCAGATGGGACAAATAGTAATATAGTAGACTTAAACCCAGCCACATCACCCATTATGCCAAGTGTAATATAAACAGCCTAAACATTCTGATAAAAAACAGGTTGATCGCAGGTTGTCAGATTGGATGTAAGGCAAGACCCAGCTGTATGCTAAATCCAAGGTTACTTCAAACATGCAGATGGGTTATAAGGAAAAGAGGAAGCGTTTGGTAAGTGAAGGGCTCTCCTTAGCAGGTCCTTAGCAGCCCAGCAGCAGGCTCCAGGGTAGCCAGCAGGGTGGAAAGTGGAAGGAGCTGTGTGCATGGACAGTTACACTGCAGAGCCCAGGGTCATCACTGGGAGCCCCATCTGGGTCTGAGGCGCCTGCATTTTCCAGCTGTGATGGAGCCTGGCTTCTGCTGAGCTTGTGAAGTTGCCTGCCCTTGCCCCCTTCTTCCCATCCTCCTCAGGGCATCCAGTGTGGTTGGTGAGATGTATTGACACATCACTCTTCAGCTCAGAAGGCTCCGGCAACCGCTCATTTTGTGGAGAACAAATGTCACGGTCCTTCTGAGGGTCCCTTTCCCTCCCACCACTCTTGTCTCACTGGCTTCAGCCCTGCTTGACCCCTGCACTGTTTCTCACACACTGGGGTGCTGGGAGGCAGGACCTCAGGGATGGATAGTCTGACCTTCTGGGATGTTCTTCCCTCAGATCCCCACCTTGTCCATGTCTGCAGTGTCACCTCCTCTGTGGGACCTACCCTGACCACTGGCTTTCCAAGCCTTATCTCTCCCTTCTTAGCACTCTGCCCAGCATGACTGCTCTCAGGTTCTGCCTGCGTCTGCACTGAGCATTTTGCTGCTCACTGTGTGCCATGGGGCGTGGAGCAGCCCATGCACTGCAGGTGCTTGCTCAGGGCTCTAAAGCTGAAGCCATTGTGAATGTGACTCAGCCACAGGTGTCAGCAGTGATGGTCCTCAGAAATGAGCTAGGCAGCTCTCCCTCCACAGTCCACTGTACAGATGGAGAAGCAGCACGAATGATTTTCCAGGGCTCGTCGTAATGGCAGAACTGGGACTGGTGGTCTCATGTGCCATCTATTTTCCAGGGGGCTCTGAGGAAGGGAAGGATGGTCAGTCCCGATATCCATGTTGATGTGGCCCAGTGTCCAGGGGGGTCCAGGATGTGGGAGAGGAGGCTGAAGGCATGGGGCTAGGGGCCCAACTGTAGGGCCTAGCTAGTTACTCAGCCTTGCTGCCTCAGATTAGTAAGAAAACACTGGGGAAGTTGATCTCCACTGTGGGGTGAGGCTGAGAGCAAACAACTTACACATGGTGGCAGACGCCTCCCTCCCAGACCGGAAAGGACTTTGTCTCCGAGAACAGCCTTGTGCAGGGGCGAGGCACCTTTTCACAGGCTGTAGGCACAGATGGGGACAGGTAGGTTCTTAGGAAGAAGCTCTGGGCTAGAGCACAGCTTTCTTCCTGCCCTTCGTGAGGCCCTCACGTGGAAACCTTGGGCTCTGTACTTCCTGCTTCCTGGGATAGAGGCCTTGTCCCCAGGGGTGCTCAGGGCCCACAGGGATCGCCCTGGCTTGGGCTGTCCTTGCAGCCAGAGAGGCCTTGGGATGGTATAACAGGGTGGGATGGCCACCCTTGGCATTCAGTCCAAAAGTGGAGCCTGTTCTTCCTGTGGGTTCTCACCTCTACTCTTACCCTGCAGCCATGCCATGCTGTGCTGTGGCTCCTGCTCATGGCCTCTGTGACTTTTCTCAGGCCTCATCAGGGAGTACCTCTCATCCTGGTGCTCTGGTGGCTGTGCAGACCCCCATTACTCCTGGTCACCTCAGAGTCCCTGCCTATCAGCCTCTGGACCTGGGCCTCTCCCCCAGGCCAACCCACTTGTGCCCATCATGCCAGGACCAAGACCCAGTCCCTCTTCATGGCCAGCCCTGACTTACCGAGCTCACAGCGCCTGCCTTTGAACCCTGGCCTGCAGTCACAGCTGTAGGTGTCAGTGCCAGGCACACAGGTACCTCCATTGTGACAGGCATTTTCTGAGCAGCTTCCTGGGGCACCTGGAAACAGCTGGGAGAGGTCAGCTGCAGGCATGCAGGCTGCCCCATGTCTGTCAGTACCCGGTGGCTGGTCTCATGCCAGGTGTGTGGAGAGAGGGCACTGGGAGGAGGTGGCTTACACTGCCTGGGCCTGACCTCTGACTTCAAGGAAGGAAGAGGGGATGGGTCAGCCCTGGCCACATCCCTCTCCCTGCTGTTCTGCTGACTTGCCCTTACCCAGGCTTGCTTCTGCTTGGAACCTGAAGTCCCTGTCCCTGCATCACTGCCTTCAGGGCAGGGCTCCTTCCCTGTGTCCTCAGCCCAGGCAGACCTCTGTGCTCATGTCTGTGCCCTGCAGGCAGCTGTCTGCCCGCCTCCCTGTGTGTCCCCACCACACCATGACAGCCTGGCCTTGCCCCTCAGAGGACCTGCTGCCCATAGCTTTTGTCCTGTTTCAGCTTTGTCAAGACTTCTGTTGACTTGTGTTTTAACTTAAAAAGCATAGAAGACTTAAGAATTACACTTTGCCCACTGCATCTAGTTCCAAAGAAGGCTCAGTCTCCCCCAATGTGGAATCCAGTCCTTCCCCAGCTCGGGCTCATGGGGCTCCCCAAGGACCAGTCCCAAGGTGCCAGGGCAGGTCTCAGCGGCCGTAGCTGGTCACAGCCCCCTTGTTCCCCACCATTCCGACCCCACCCCCATCCCTATCCTCTGGGGCATTTCTTTTTCTCGTCAGTACTGGGGATTGAACCCAGGGCCCTCTCGCTGATCTATAAACAGTGTCCCCTTTTTGAGAACAGGGCTTGCTATAGCCCAGGCTGACCCTGAACTGGCAGCAGTCCTGCCTCATCCTCCCCAGTGCTAGAATTATAGTTGTGCACCACCATTCCCAGCTTACCAGCTGGGACAGTCTTGCTAAATTGCCCAGGCTAGGTTTTCAATCCTGCCTCAGCCTCCCAAAATTCTAGGATTACAGGTATGTGCCACCATGCCCAGCTGGAGGGCTTTCTTTTTTGCTTAAAATGAATTGTGGGCTTAAAGAAAAACCCTTTATTATTCTTAACCCTGCCACATGTTAATTGTGAAGAACCTGAGTAACTCAACTTTTACCTAGTCCATTTTGTGCATTCCCATTTTTCTGTCACCTTTTGAAGAGCTGCAGAGTAGTTCACAGCACTTCTCTTGTGAGCCCTTCTCAGGTATCTTACCTAAGGATTAGTGTCTCACAACCATGGGGCCATGATGACAGATTAGCACATAAGCCAAGTTCAGATTTCCCTGCCTACCAAGTACAGTCATCCTGCACCCATCCAGGGCCTGCGAGCCACATGCTGGCAAACAGAACAGGCCTGCAGTGAGCTTGGGGCAAGCAAGGGGATCAAGAGGAGCCAGCTCATGTCCATATTTCTCAGTTTTGTGAAATCGAGCATTCAATATGTAATGCAAACCATCTGATGGGATGCCTGCTCAAAATGTTCCACTCAGAAGCAACAATGTGAGTGCATGCAGGGTAAGCTGTGTCTTCACTGCAGGATGTATTCCTTGGTGGCTGCTTGCTGGCCTGCCTTTCTGCCCTTGAGCCAAGAGCTGGTGAGCGTTCCTGCAGTGAGGGGAGGGTGCTGACAGTAGAGCCAGCATTTGCAGACACCCTCCTTCTACTGCAGCTGCCCTGGGGGACCATCCTCTGGGCTCACACCTTTCTGTGTACTTGGCTTTCTTTGGGGTCAGGATGATGGGTGAGCCCATCTCGTGGTGTTACTCAGGAGAAAGGGCCACAGGGTCCAGGCAGGGCCAGAATCTGACTGTACAAAGCTTCATCTGTCATGCTGTCCACAGGGAAAAGCCTCCCTGGATGCCTCCCTGGTCAATGGCTGTCACAAGGCAGTCATGGACCAAGGACAGTGCAGGCTTCAGGGCCCACGTGCTGGCCCAGCCTTGGGGGGTGTGTCAGACTGGGCTCACTGAGGTTCCTCAGCTGATTCCCATTTTGCTCACTCATCACTGCCACATGGAGAAGCGAAGGTGTGGGGCTTGGGTGAGCAGACGGGGAGACAGCCCATAGGGAGACGACCTTCTCACGCGGAACTATGTGGACCAGCCTGCTCCCTGCCTGTGGCCTGTGGAAGGACAGGTGCCACCAGTAGGTGGTGCAGTTGGCCCTATGCTTTCCCGGGGGGGGGGG